CTGAATATGAAAAAGAATCTGCGAAGTTCAGAAAAAAAGTGTATTGAAAGTGATTTTTGTATGAGGATATTTAATAGAAACTTGTAAAGAAAACCAACTCCCGATTGCGTCTGCATGACTCCTGCACGACTTTACAATTCACTTTAAGTTGGTTTTGTCATAGCTAATTAAAAGTGAGGTATTAATCGAAATCTCGCCAAAAAGCTAACTATAAGTTGGTTAGTTTTAACAATTGATAATTTTTCACTGCAGGGTACGTACATATTGCCCTGCATGAAAGTTCACGAGATCGTATTTACTTTGTTTTTAAATGAACTACTCGCGAGTTCTGCACTGTATGATTCCAGTCTTATTTTTCAAAATATTTGGTCCCTAAAGCTTATCACCCAACATGCTGGAATTATTCCAGCTGCAGTAATAAGGACGAGTACCCAGCGCTCAAGAAAAATGTCAAGAAATATTTCTCATTTACCTTTGCTGTAAATTTTTGTGAAGAAATAAGAACACAGACATTTTTTTTTCTTGAGAGCGTTAAACAGATTTAAGAAATTTTAATAAAAGCAATGAACCCGGCTCCTGCGGCTTGGTAGTACGCACCTCTAATCACTGACCCTCAACCAAACTAAAAGTTAGGTTTTCATTGAAAATGCTACGAATAGGGAAGAGCCCATTATTTTTTGCATAACTGCTCCTATTTCCTATACACAAATACCAAGAAATTTCTATCACGCAAGACAGGTAGTTTTCTGTAAAATCCTTTGAAGCAATTCGGCGTTTAGTTTGTTCCACGCATGATTTCCTAAATATTGTACCACACTAATCCCTAGTTTCACCAAACAATTTTAAATCTAATCAGACACAATTGTGTCAGGCTGACCTCTTGGTGCAACCGGGCATAAAACCACAAAAAACAATACATTCATATATACACTGACGATCCAAAGTGAGTACATGGTGTTTTTTTATATTTGCATTGATTTTAAAGTTATTTTTTATAAAAATATGGTTTATGCTTTAATCAAACCCTCCTATTCAAACTTTATACAGAATTTAGAAAAATTCAACGAATTTTGATCTAAATTTTGAAATTTTTAATCAGATTTAAAAAAAATTGGTATGCAGATACATCGGTTTGTTAATTCTAGTAAAACAAATGCAAGTTTTAAGCGCCTAAAATAAATGTATAAATTGAATTTGTTATAAAAAAAAACCGCAAAATCCGCCGAAAAAAATTATAAAAAATTAACGCGAATTTTAACCTCTTAAAACTTGCACTTATTTTAATAGAATCGCATAACTGATGCATACCCATAATTTTTTAAAAATCCAGACTAAAAAGTTAAAAATTTCGATGAAAATTTGTTGAATTTTTCTAAATTCTGTATATAGTTTGACCGTTTGACTTATGGGGTTTTCGTTATAGCATCATATTAAAAAAAAATAACAAAAAAATTTTAACTTGAAAAAAATTGCAAATATATAATAAACAGGGAACGGATTTTATGGAAATTGCCTTTTTTCTGCTAAAGAGATAGAGTATATTCGATTAAGAATGTCCACGATTTAGCTTTGTCTGATTCCATATATACACATTCGCTGTTGCATTTTTTGCCTTTTTTAATATATTTGCCTTTTTTTGCCGACAACTCCAAAAGCAAAAACTACATAAAATGACGTACAAGAAATGGCTAAGAAATTTTCGTGTGTCAAATTTACTTAAGGCATGCGCAGTTCTTAAGAGATTTTCTCCGCTTTCTAGTACGGTTTTCTAAAGTTTTTTTTTTTTTTGTAAAAAAAAGACCACAAGGCAATCCAGGTTTGCAACAGAAATATATGCCCGTTCCATTATTTCTTGAGGCAATAGTGAGGCAACAGGCTGTGAAGTATCAAAAATGTCAAAATTCTTTGGCAATTTTTTTCTTGTCCGTTTTCTTGAGAGCTATATACTGGCCTATAGTTGTAAAGGGCAAGGAAAAAGCTCTTGTTCCTGATAATATGAAGGTTTTAAACGTTTCATGTTTAAATTGGGAAAATGCCCTATCTCAACGGCCGAATACTGAATTTATATTGAGATAGGGCACTTTCGAAGCGGCATTTGAAATATAAGATAGCGCTTTTTTCAACAATTTGCCGAGATAAGGCGTTTCCGAACCGACAGCCGAGATAGGGCGATCTTCCACTCAGCCGACGGCACAGCTATTAAATTTTCACATAAATAGAAGAACATATAGCGGTCCTTTCTGCATACTTAACTCGATTTTGTATACTTTTAAATTATGACACTTGAAGTAAATGAGCGCTATATATTTGTTACTATATAATTGTTTTGTAATTATCTTTTGTTTTCTCATTAAATTTTAAAATTTTATTTAATTTTTTTTTCTCCTTATTATTAATAATATTTGTATAAATTGTGTGTCCATTCCTCTTAGGTAAAGATTTAACAAAGGTACAGCAAGACGCCGTTCGTTAATTCATCAGAATCATTCCTTCCAAATAAGAAAAAAAAAATATTGTTAACATTTTAAATATAACTGAATTGATTTAAGCATAATTTTAGGATAACAATTGTAATAAATACCTTATACTATAACAAAATTAAAACGATACACATATGAATTATAAATATGTGGATTTCATCAATAAAGAATTAACATCCAAAGAAAATATTGATGACATTTATTAAAAGTTAAATAGTTTGTCTACTAAACACTAGCCATGTATGTACAGATGCGATCAACTAATTAGCAAAATATAATTTAATCTATAACAAAAACCACAATAATACAAATTTCAAAGCATGCACAGATTGCAAAAGAATTAATCAAACTTCAAAAAACTTGTCCTCAAAATTTCCAAATTTTTAGTTAGAACATTTAGCAAATTTTCGGGTATGCAGTTTTGTAGCCCATTAAATTTTACACAAATAAAGGGCAAGTTTGAAGTCGTTAAAAGTAACCGTAGATTTTTTAGAATTTTTTTGTGGTGTTACAGATTTTTTTCATAAAAAAAAAAAAAATTGTTGATCATATGTTATTTGGAAGAAAATGCACAACACCGAAAATTTTCTAATATTCAAAATAAAAATTTTGTAATTTTAAGGACAATTTTTTGAAGTTTGAATAATGTTTTTGCAATTCGTGCAGGCTCTTAAACTTTTATCATCAATTTTTTACGTGGATTTAATTAGTAACTGTCGCACTCAGTTTAGGAATAACAAGAATCTCTTTTTATGTCAATTCAACCGGGCCTTCCGTGACATGATTTTATTTTTCACGAAAAAAAAGATAGTCTTTTAAAATAAAACAAAATTTTCATTGAAAAAATCCCAACTCGTAAAACCAAATTTTGGCTATGGGACGTTTACTCTGGGCTAAAATTTTCATATTGATGTAAAAACAATGCCGCATATTCATAGTCGTATTTAGTTCACAACTAAGTCAAAACTATCCTAAGTTACAATTAAAACAATACATAGTCGCATTAGTTTCGACCTTTCTGGCTAAGTACCAGCTTAAAATTTAGTTTCGGCTGCAGCTGCAACCAAGTCGTAACTAGGAAGAAGTATTTTATTAAATTAAGGGGAAAAAGACGGAATATGTATGTATGTAAAAATTGAGTAAGTAGAGCGTGATTTTAATAATACTAAATGATCTAAAATTAAAATCTACAACAGCGATCCATTTGAATCGGAAGATGAAATTAAATGCGCATTACAATTCGAATAAAGCTACATCCCAATTTTATAACTGGAATGATTTAGATAAATTCTCAAACAATAAGTTTATTTGAATATCGTAAAGAAAAATGACACATTTCCACACTCGGTTTGCTGTATCGTAAAACTAAGCTAAAACTACTTAGTGCGACTATGAATAGAAATGAATTTTAAGTTAGTACTTAAATTCAATTTGCAACTTTATTAGTTTTGTCTTAGTAGCTGGACTATGAATACGCCCCAATACGATCTATCTGGAGCTTTCACAAAAAAAAGAGATTCCCATCCAAAAATGCACCTTAGAGTTAACTGCAATCAATGCCTACCTTGTATATCGCTTCTCAGAGGAATTAGCTGTTGAATTTTAAATTTAAAATTAAAACCAGTGAGGATAGTTAAGTCTCAGATGGGTTCTATTATCAGAAAGTAGTTTTTAAATAAACTTCAGATAGAGGTCGTATTGAATATAGGTAGGTATAATGAACGCAATAAAGTACTCAAGTAGCACACTGGTGTGTAATTTGTTAACCAAAATTCACAAATTTACACCAAGTTATACACCAGCGTGCTACTTCGGTAGACTACACTGAAAAGAAATGTGTAATATTATAATAATTACGAAAAATAAAGCGGGAACGATAAGTTTTAATTGTTTTTTAAACAGAATGCTTCAACAAAAATCTACAAAAATTATAAACATTTACCTTTTTTCTAACCCAATTTTTTCTACCAATTTTGGTAACAATTTACCAAACTGGCAATGTATATATTATTCCAAACGATATGTTTTTCAATAACATTTAAAAAGGAAGTCAAAATAATTAAGAAATTTACGAAAGCATGAACTATCATAGTGATTCACACTTTGATTTACTTAAACTTAATGCTCAGTCAATCTGGCAAAATTTTTTTGTCTACTCTGAAATAAATCCATTACAGATAAATGATATGCCATCGGAAAGTTATGCTGTTTAAAATAACGAAATATCCTATACCTCAATTTGTCCGGATATATTTTTAATCACTCGTTATACAAACACCTGGATACCCGTACATGGCGTATGAGTAACATTATTTCCTGTTGATATTTGATGCAAAAAAATCAATCATTACGCGAAAGTGTAGTGGTAGTAGCGTAGTTTAAGCCAAATTTTTCTTTCCCTTTGTTTTTTACACATTAGGTCTATAAAATTAAATGAAATCTCAAATAAATTTTTATAAATTTGTTTAGTTTCTATATTTTTTAATCGTTGAGCTTTTCAACAATTTTCGAATATAAATATTATGCTGCATTTAATTCATCGTTTGTTTCACTACTACGTTGTGATATTTGTGACGTGCGGCTTTCAAGCGAAACTTTGCTTCTGCGCTTGCGGATCGAATCCGTTGACTGATAACGCTTTTTCAATGATATTTCTGCCTCATTCACTTGGCGACAGCTCTCAATGAAAGAAATCAATTCAGGGCTATTCAAGCTCTTTGCTACCGCATAGGATTCATCTAGTATTTCCTTGGCACGTTCCACCTTGTGAAGAACTGTATGGGCCTTACATATAAGTATGGTGCTTAAGAAGCGCCAAACGTTGCTGTTGCAGTTTTTAGATTCTAGATAGAATTGGGAAATATATAATATATATAAATATACATAGGAAGAAACTATCAAACACAGTATTTTTTTCTTAAGGGAGTTATTCATACAAATTTAAATTGTTTAGTTGCGAAATTGTTTTAAGTTTTTTTTTTTTTAAAGAAGGCTCGAACTTGTTGCGTTTCTAAGGTTCTGGGAACTTTTGAAATGTTTTGATATTTATACGAAAGTAATTTTTAATTAGAAAACCCAATACCGAACCCAGCCCAGAAAACGTGTGGAATAGAGCTATTGTAGTTAAATAGGCGGTATAATATATGAGTACTGTAGTACTGTAGTACTTTAGCACTTTTTAGCACAAAGGAAATTTGATTCATTGTTAGACTTTAAAAATAGTAAAAATTTAGGAAAGACAATTTTTATTGAATGTGCCAATGAATTATATTAAAAAATATATTAACATCTTTCAATTGATTCGCAAATTTTGGGAGAGCTACCTACAATAGTACATACCTTCAATAGCTTTACGAGCCACCGAAACACACTCGTCAAATCGGCTCTGTCGCAGATGACTGCGGGCGATCTCGTGCAATAAATAGCATTTTTCAATCGAGTATTTAGCGAAGTGAATACGTTTCTCTAAGCGAGCCAAATATTTTCTAGAAAATAAAGTGAAAACGATATTGAATTGAGAATGGAGTTCAAGTGTGTTATTAGAAATATGCTAAAGAACTGTTAACAGAAAGTTTTGTAGACATTTTTCTTTCTTCTATTGAATGAGTTTCCTGGTAGGCGAAATATCTACAGCTGCGAAAAAAATAGTAGAAAAATTCATAATTATGATGTTGGCAGACCCGGCGAACTTCGTCCCGCCCAAAATTAATTTTTTATAGAAAATTTTTTTCCAACTTTTTCACCAACAAATCACGTTCACGTTTGGTTTTGTGGTCTTCAGAAGTAGGGACACGAAATTCGATACGATACGATGCCATATCGACATTTTTGCCTCTCGATACCGATACTTTTTACGCGATAATTTTCGAACGATATTTTTTGGAATCTAGAACCAGAACCCTTGTATCGTATCGAATTTTAAGTGTACATTACAAAGTTAATTTAAATAACAATATATTGTAGCTGATATTAAAAATATTAGTATTTTCTTAAATTCTTTTGATGTGCTTAAGGAAAAGTACATATGTACTTATGGGCAATTCCAATCTGGCGTGGCGTGACATTAGTATGACAAAATGTTCCAAAATGCAAAAATCTTTCCTCATTTTTTTTTCAACCACCTCTTCACATGCCAACTCAATCCCACTCAACTAACACGCCTTTCCCTTTGGTCCAACCATGGCGAAACTGCCAGTTTCTTGGGCCTGCCGTTAGTTGAGCTTGATAACAGCGACTGATGGACAAACCGAAATAGGCGGGGCTTAGTAGTGCCGCTACAATAGCAACAACGTGACGTTAGAAGACGTTACGTTACTCAAATTTCCATTGAAACTTTTTATTGTTTTTAAACTAATTTTTAGCGCAAATAAATCAAGAATTTTATGTCGAATATATGTTTTATTTCAACTTCAGCGCTACCTACATACGATATCGTGTCCTTGGTCAGAATATCCCCCATTGCGATCTTAGATAACCTAAAGAAAGCGTTATGTTCGTGAAGAAGTTTTTTGTGCAACAATGGCACCCTGAAATTGTACATAACTGCGTATATGAAAAAACAGTTTCGGTTGAAAACCGAAAAAATGCTTTGAAAAAACCCGAAATAACGCATATATGCTCAGTTTCTATGGTAGAGTTTGTATAGAGCGAAAAAGAGCTTTTACTTACATTTTCTTTTGTGTACATTTATAAATAAAAATTTGTTGGTTTAAAAAAGTAAAAGTTTTCTGGTATCCTTTAAAACGCTAAAATTTTTTTTAAAAATCGGGTTGTAATTTTTTTGTTTAAAATATTTTTTTATAAAAAAATGTATTATTTGCTTTTAAGTGTTTTTTCTCAAATTTTTATGTACGAAGTATACAAATATGCATACCAGTAGGAGGGGGGTTTAATCGCCTTTACAACGATACCAATTTTTTAAAAATCGGTTGGTAACTTTTTGTGAATTTTTTTTATAAAAAAAAAAATTCTTTCTTTTAAGTTTTTTTTCGAATTTTTATATACGAAGTATACAAAACGCATATCAGAAGAAAGAAGGTTAGATTTCGTTTACAACGATATAATTTTTTTAAAAATCGGCTAGTAATTTTTTTGTTTCAAATATTTTTTTTTTATAAAACAAAGGTATTTTTTCCTTTTTTTAATTTGTACATACGAAGTATACAAATTTGCATATCAGAAGAAAGGGTGTTTAATCACGTTTACATCGATTTTTAAAAACCATTTAAATATTTTTTGAAATATAAGGTTTTTAATATTTCGGTGGCCCGACCTTTGACCTCTTATAGCACAAGTAATATAAGTTTGCACAAAAAAAGTTACATACCATTTAAATAAGAGCAAAAGGCGGACTACGCTTATATTTTTAGTTTTTTTAGTTATTTACATATAATAATGAAATAATAATTTTTTACCAAAGGTCCTCCTATTTCGAACTTCGAAGGCCCATATCTCGATTTCGGAGGCTAAACGGATAAATTATTTTTTTACCTACGACTCAATCTCTTAAAAAAATGGTTCGGTCCTATACCTGACCGAGTGCTGTACAGTGTATTGATCCAGTATCTTCATTTATGCATATTGTAACAATCAATACCTTACAAAGAGAAGTGTAAAATTTTTTGTTTGTCTAAAACTAATAAAGTTTGAAGGACGACATTCGAGGATGTGGTAGTTTAAAAGATATGATAGTTTTAATCTCGATTGTACAAGGGGGCGTGGCACTCCCATATGAACGGAATTTTTCATAGTATATATCGCGGGAAATATTTGTGATAGAGGACTGAAACTTGGTATGGAGATATCGATTCTACACTCATGGGGAAGGGCTGCCACCTGTTTAAAAAGTAAATTTTCAGCTTGAATTAAGGGAATTATCTATTTGAAAACTATATTAAAAAATGGATATCAAGAGGCCTAAAAATGTTGCAGTTTAATAATATTTTGAAAAGGGTTGCCACCCGTTTAAAAAATAAAATATAAGTTAATTATTCGCAAGCTATGTATGTATCTGAAAAATTATAATATGGGTGTGAAACGAAAGATGGTTAAGGAATCTTCGGATTAAAGATTTAGAATATTATTCAGGTGTTTTACTAGCGTTACCATCCGATTAAAAATTAGATTCAATTAATTTAAATGAATTACTGCAATATGGGTGTCAATCGAAATGTTTTTCAGAAAGGTTTAAGTTCTAAACTACATGAAGGGCGGTTGTCACCTGTTTGAAAAATCAAATTTTACTTGAAAGGAGTTAAATAATTGAGATATGTATCACAATATGGGTGTCAGACCAAAGAGGTTTTATAAGAATTTAGTTGGACAATTTTCTGGAGGGTTGCCACCTGTTTTAAAAGTCGAATTCAACTAACTTATAAACAAGGAAGTATTAAAATATGCTCAACATAAGAGTGTAAGAAATCTTGAGTTTGAACACTAAGAATATTTTTTAGGTGCTCAAAGAGAGTTGCCACCCATTTAAAAAGTTAAATTCAATTTACTTTATACTTTACTTTATTCAAATATTGGTACCACTCGAAATGGATTTGAAAAGGCTGTATTTCCAAACTATATTTAGAGGGTTGCCACATGTAAAAAAATTAAATTCAACTTAATTCATCAGTTTATTAGGATATGTATCACGGTGAATGGAGTTTCCACCTGTTTGAAAAGTTGAATTTAATTAACTTATATACAAGTTATAGAAAATATTAAAATATGGGTGTCTAACGAAAGAGTGTTAGGAAATCTTTGGTTTAACCTGCTTAAAAAGTTACATTCAGTATCATATTTAGAAATTTAGATGAATTACTAAACGAAATTTCTTTAGGAGGATTGCCACGTGTTTGAAAATCAAATTCACCTTAATTCATAATTTAATTGAAATATTTATCACAATGTTAGAGGAAAGAAATATAAGAAGACTTTTGAAAAGGATTTCTACCTGTATGAAAATTCGAATTTTGTTATCTTATACCCAATGTTTACGAAATATAAAAAAATGAGTGTCAAGATCATTAGATTTGCACCGCTCTTTCTAGTTTTAAATATGAGACTGCGGTGTAAGGACTGTAGATGTGTGATAAGGTTTTAATTTTTGAAGTCAGAACTTTTTTTTATCGGTACAGGGTGATTTGAAATTTGATGATATTGAAAACCGGCAATATGCGAGCCCTCTCTTCACTAGGAAACGCCTGCATGGATTTAGATGAAATATGACACTCGAATAGCTTATAACTCTGACTAACATTTGGAATAGTTTCTAGGGAATTTAACTTTAGGGCGTTTAAACGCTATGCGGGCTCAATAGTTTTTCTTATTGCTTTTCCTAAATATTGTGCTCGACATATTCACTCTGTAATATGGTTAGGTGTAAAAGTCATACTTACTTGTAAGCGATCATTGTATAGTCAATAGCATCCGGTTCCTGATAAGTGGATTTATCGCCGAAGACAAAGCTCACTTGACGATCTTTGCTCTTATCGGTTGGAATACGTAGCAATCGCATCAAGTGACTTGCATTATTTTGTGCCGATGATAAATCACTCGGTTGAATGAAACGATCGATATAAGCCAGCGCCAATGTGTTGTACACTTCATTCAAAAATTCGAATTTCCAGGGCATGACACGATGTGTCTTTAGCACTACATAATCGCCCATAACTTCTTCGATGTATTTACTGAGTTTCTTTAAATATTATAAATTAATATGGGTATAAGACATTTTACACACATACATATGCAACAAATAAAAAAGTCAATACTTACGTCAAGTTTTCCAATGGCCCTAAGTTGGCGAATCGTACGCAATATCGTTAGCATATTTCGACGCGTCTGATATTGTATATGATTCAAATGTGTCTCACGATGTTTTTCCCAAACTTTCTTATCCGGACACTTAAGCATTTGTTCATTATAAAATGGACTGCGGGCTTGAAGCATTTTCTAAGAATAAATGATATACATACATATAAACATGAAACACAAAGTAGCTGGTTAATAGTTAGAATATTTTGGTTTCGGAAAAGAGAAAAATCGTCAACTGTCTTCATGGGACCGGATCCACTTAATAGTGCAAATTGGTCTAATGTGACAACTGACCTGAGTTGAAAATATTAAAATTTGGATTTTGTCTTCCAAGATTCTTTGGGCATTTATTAGGAAATCGAAAGATCTTTTGGACATTCAGGGTTAAGAAATAGCAATCAGGATATAAAATACCATACTGGGCGTAGTGTTCAGTATATTTTTTAGCTAACTTGTCCCGTTGTGCTTTGAAAAATCTAAAGAGTTTTATTGTTTGGATATATTATCCGGCAATATGATGTCTCTGAAATTTAACAGACAGTCCAGAAAATGAACATCTTATATGTTTATATATTATATTATACGGTTTTAAGAGTACTAATTACTCCTGTACGAATGAGAACTTGGACTCAATATCGACAAACAAGAGCATGTTTACACAAATTACAAAGGCACACGCAAAAAAAAAAATTTTGGCCGAGACACTAAATTTTATTCAATGAATGTGAATCTGGAGTCAGAACTGTCTTATCGGCTCAAATTTTAGCGGTAACCTCAAAAAACTGTAGTTATTCGTGTTTTGTTGTTGGCTCTAAATTCTTTTGAGGAATACAATTATCTTGAAGCAGTGGCGTAACCAGGATTTCGGGAGTGGGGTTAGGATGAAAAAAAATACTCAGCGATAGCTTAAAGGAGAAACCCACAATAGCTACAGACGTCGCCTGTGTACTTTTTCATACATGTTTGAGCCATATTTATAGTTATATATCAATTATATAAATAGGCAATCATGTTTCCTTTACACCCCTTTT